TATGTTGATGCGTCACATTATGCAGCCCTTGGGAGATTTTGACGGAAACTTAAGCCAGCAGACAGCTGACAGTTGGCGATGATATCTCAAGGCGCCTATGCAGACAGACACCTTATCTTGAGAATCACATCACCATCAGAGCACTTGTTTCACCGTTTCCACTAATAGTTCACATGCGTAGACATTTAATACACAAAATCGCACCACTTTTACATATCAAAATCCACTTCAAACCATTATTTAAACAATAATACAGGAGCAGCCATCCGTCGTCGGTCAAGTTCCCGCCAAAACTCCACTTAGTCAGAACCATGAAGCAAATACAAAGAGGAGACGTTGTAATTAAATTTCACTATGTAACAACGCGTGACAATATGCGGGGTGAGGGGATGCAAAGCCCCGCCCACTTTACTCTAATCTACATCTACCGATAAATAGTAAAACTACTCGAATCGTTCCATATCGATGTTGCAATGCAGTTTAGCTAACTAGACGGTAGATGGCGGCCTATGAACAAAATGTCATAAACTATAAAAATAATATTTTGGCAATTAAAATTACGTTATATCTGAATGCAAAACAAATTTCAGCACCTTCGTATGATTATTTTATCATTACTGAGTTCTACGTACCTTTATATTTTTAGTTCACACGACACAAAGTGTCGCCATCTAGTGTCGAGTAAATGTAATTATATTTGAAAGCCGACGCAAAGAGATTTTTCTAGAACTATTTTAATAAATTCGGTTTAAAATTACTTACAAATGAAATGTGATACCATCCATAGCATTGAAACGTCTATCTCATGAAGCAAATACATTCAGACAAAGAAATTTTAATCACCACTATATTATTTTTATAGTTTTCATAATAATTTTGTGAACAGGCTGCCATCTATCATCAAGTAAACCTCATAAAAAATAACAAAAAGACAGGGCCGTAATTAGAATTCAACTATTTTACCCAGTAACCCAACATTCGATATTAAAATGAAGGAAATTGTACTTGGCTGATTTTTACGAAATGTTTAAGTTATATTTAAGTGACATTCTATATGCAAAGAATCACTTAAATACAATTTAAATATGGTTATCATTTCGTGAAAGTCAACCTTCAAGAAATATTTATTTTATCCTTAGCAAAATTAAGTCTCTTTGAAACTAAATATTCTATGTTAAATATTAAGTAGGATATTTAATTTGGAACTAAATATCCTACTTATCTCACTAATATTATAAAAACGAAAGTTTGTGTGTTCTTTCTGTCTCCTTGAGCTTATTCCAAACTAAGTATGTACTGTGTATGCGTATTTTTTCCCGCAGAAACGGCTGGACTATTATTTATGTGTGAGTTATACTACTTAATATCTCTGAGGAAGAACAAATAATGGACAAATTATTATAACTAATATAATTTTATTTACAAACCAATTAAAATATAAATATTTTATTCCTAATTGGGCATCCGAATGTACTTTTTGAATGCCAATCTAAGAACATTAAATTGGATTTAAGTGATTCTTTGCATAAAGAATGTCACTTAAATATAACTTAAACATTTCGTGAAAATCAGCTTAAGTACAATTTCGTTCATTTTAATATTGAAAGTTGGATTACTGGGTAAAATAATTGAATTCTAATTACGGCCCTGACTTTTTGATATTTTTATGAGGTTTACTTGACGAGAATACGGTCTGTTCTCAAAATGATTATAAACTATAAAAATAATATTTTGCGATTAAAATTTCTTTATGATATAAATCAAATTTCAGCACTTTCGTATGATTATTTTACCAATACTGAGCTCTACGGACCTTTATATTTTTAGTTCACATGACCAAGATGACACAAAGTGTCACCATCTAGTGTCGAATATATTTAATTATATTTGAAAGCCGACGCAAAGAGATTTTTCTTGAACTATTTTCATAAATTAGGTGTAAAATTATTTACAAATGAAATGTGATGCCATCCATAACATCAGAGCGTCTATCTGAGTAGTTTTTACACTATAAAACACAACACTTCATGATTTTCTTCTTAATACTACGAAAATACACCGATTTGCGACTTTATCAACACATAAGCGCACAGGACGAATGCTGACAGTATACTAACTAAAGCCACGCCCACTATGATGACGTCAGGACCTACTTAGAATCACAGTGCATAGTTTCTTATGCCGTCTCCTCTTATTGTCAAGCCAAAGAGTATAGTAGGTCAGGCCAAAGACAATTTTTTTTAAAGATGGTAAATATAACTTAGAGTCATTACTATGTTCTTATCCAAAAATAAAAAAAAGTTATCAACAATTAAAATATAGAATTATTTGTATGAAGGTCAAGTGAGCGCTAGAGTAACGACGATTGCAAGACGATTTGTCAACAAGGAAGAACAGAACATGGCAACTATGACAAGTATACCTTCTATGAGGAATATAGTGGAAGCCTATGTTCAGTGGGTTATTTTTTAGGATGTAACGGTGTTTGTTTTAATAGTGATAAGAAAAAAATGTGGGAGGAAAAAAGGCGAACATTTTTTCTCAATTTAATCTCGGTGAAATGCGGATACTCCGTGCGATGCTTATGATTCATTCTTTATTTGAAAGCTGGTGCTTCACATGTGGTCCCATATAAATTTGATCAAGGTCTGACTAATAATGTTATTCTTAATAATTTATATTGAAGTCGGTTCAACAAATTTTTTAATTTTTAATTATTGTTGAAAACAACCTCGCCATAATGTTTACTATATATCGAAATTATAACATTAAACGTAATTTTAAAACTTTGTGGAATATGAAAATTTGTGTTAATTACACAGGATTTATAGTGATAATTCACACCTTATATTTAATTTTCAGTTAATTCTGGCTATTAAATATTTTTTTAGAAAATTTATAAAGTATAAAAAATTGTTACGAAGCAAAATATAAGGAATTAACTTTTAAAGACAGTGTTATTACTTACCTTTTATATAAATACTAACAAAAAATTCTATTGTACCTACTTAATTTTTTTTTAATTTTTAGTTGCCTCTTACACTCACGCGGCGAAGGAAATAACACTAAATATGTAACGTAAACGCGACGCGTAGGTAACGACGGAACTCGTCATTTGAAGTAAATTCTGTTAATTGAGAGAAGCGTAATTTAGCAACGAAACTAATACTAATAAAATATTAGTTTTATAATTCATATAAATAACATTTAAAAAATAATTGTTCTTAGCATTCTTAACTATGGTTCTGACTAAATGTAGTTATCGTATATATACTCTCTGGATCTGAGGGGTCCTTTCTAAATATTACCATACTCTTTGGAGCGTTCTACAAAGGTGACATTTGAGTTTTTTTTGGCGGGAACTTGACCGGCGGCGGTTTGTTGCTCCTGTTTTATTGTTTAAATAATGGTTTGAAGTAGACTTTGATATGTAAAAGTGGTGCGTTTTTGTGTATTAAGTATCTGCGTATGTGAACTGTTATTGGAAAGCGTGAAACAAGTGCTTTGATGGTGATGTGATTCTCAAAATAAGGTCTGCTTAGGCGCCTTGAGATACCATCGCCAACCGTCAGCTGTCTGCTGGCTCAAGTTACCGTCAAAATCTCTCAAGGGCTGCACAATGTGACGCATCAACATATTGTGAAGCAGTATACTATGAAGAATAATTATTATAATATTATATTGTATCTTCAGGCTCAGAAGGGCTAGATCCCAGAGCCGTAAAGCCAGTTATCAAGAAGAAGAAGGTGACATTTGACTGCCCCATGTGTACTTCAAAGATTTGACACTTTGACAGATTAAATAAAATAAATGGCTTTTGGGTGGAGGTGGGCAAAGTGTATCATTTTTGGGATTGGAACATTTGCATCTTGATCACTGAAATGTTCCGAAACACTGATATGTTTCATTTGGTTCATTTGTATCATCGCCGCAAAAGATATAAAAGAAAGAATGTTCCGAATAGGTACATTAAGTTGCGTCGCGGGCGTTTATTACTGACTGATCCGTGCAATATTATGTGGCAACCATGCTGAATAATATAAGTGCTTAGATTATTTATTGTGTACCGTAATAAGATTGAATATAAAATCGATTCCCCTTCATACTTTAACAAAAATGTCACTATGTCAATTCATTATTTACAAAAATGTCCATTTACACAAAACAGCAATGTCTATGTACACAGAATTTACTCGTAAAAGTCACAATAATCACTACGCAAAGAAATCCTAAACATAACTCAGTATGTTTTCGTAAACAGGCGCTAATGAATATAAACAATTTGACAAGTGCCGCATCAACGTAAAATGTCAACTTGTTAATGCAAACGTTACATACAAAAAACGACCGTATAGTATTTGACGTATAAGCGCCTTAATGGTAATTTTTACGTGCATGAATAACGTCAGCGAAAATCCGTACGAGTTGAGGATACACTTCTTATTTGTTATCTCTATCTGACTTGTGTGGATTATAATTATTTCGCCCGCTCACTCGCCACTCGTGAGTCAATAGTTAAGTTAATCATTGTCTCAGTCTCTCTCTCTCGCTCGTGGCTCAGTCGCCTCGCAAGCGACGCGTCGCCCGAAATGAGCAAAGAGCAAAGTAATGTTTCACTGTTCCAGATACAAATGATACATTTGAAACGTTGTTACTGAACCAATCTTTTGTGTCACTTCAGTGATTCGTATCAGTGAGTCGTTTCCGTAAAGAGATACACACGCCTACTTTTGGGCTTGGTACCCTTTCTCACATAATTTTCAATACATATTATATTTCAAAGGAAATTCCACAGAGGATATTGTATACTATATACAAGAAAGGAAAGAAAATCCCACCTCTTAAAACTAGACTCAAGTTTTTTGCTACTACTAGCTCCAAAATTACACTGTGAATTATGTGATCAAGTACAAAAAGAGTATAATAATATAATAAGTATATGCAGGATATCAAATATTAGGCAAAAATAAGTATATTAGCTGCCTGTGCTTGTGGTTGCAATGATCAAAACTATGAAATTGGTTATATCCGAAAACGGCAAAGATATAGAAACTGTCAAAATAGAAACTAATACAGACCCTCCCCTTTTATATAAGTCTTTAGAAGAATTTCGTAAACTTGCTAATGCAGCATTAACCAAACTTATAGAGGATAGTGGCGATACCGGTAAGATATTTATTTTTTTATTATATATTTATTTATTTAAGGTGCCTTGACCATTACCAATAATCCATCAAATCTCTTAAAAAACTTTCGCAATTTGACGCATCAGTGCAATGTTTTCTACGTGGCAGCTATATTACTGGTATAGTTGTTGCATGGACGGGTTAGCTTGACAGGAGAAGGACCAACTGACAGAATACCCGCGTAAAATAGCAGCTTAATGCTCCTGTGTTTCTGTATGGTGTCTGTAGAGATCTGGAGATCCTTTTTACTGGAAACGAGACCATCCACCTAAGTCGTGGAGCTTCCACTTATCGTCAGGTGGACTGTGTGCTTGTTTGTCACCCTAATCCTATAAAAGAAAATGTAAGACTTTTTTAGGACCAAATACACGTCAGACTAGGCTATATGGGCATTGATCCCTGACTGTAAATACAAAATAACAGCAACAGGAATATATGTATGTATTACCAAAAATCTAGGATTTCAATTTTAATTTTCTTCAAAACTATTTATTTCCTCACTTTGAAAATATAGTACCATACAAAAAGGTTATCCAGCATTTACAATATCCACACTTAAATCCCTGCAAAGATTTAGATGAGATACAAATACTAACCCATCTTGGATGTTAACACTTTTACTGTCCGGTTTCCAGACACAATAGTAAGACAATAGCAATGACCTATATGTAGTGCACGGGACAGCAAAAGAGTTAAATTACTTATGTATTGTATTTTTTTATAATTTCTGTATGTAGGTAACACTGACAAAAACTATTGAATTGTAATGAATTGTATTTTCTTCATTGACAATAAACTTGAACTTCATTTGACAAATCACATTTTTGTTTTTTAACATGATAAATATTTATATTTGTATGACCATCAAAGTACTTGTACATACAGTACTAGTAAATATGATAGCACCTATCATTAAATATATGAGAGACAGTAGGTTATTTTGCAATAACCAGCCAAATTTGCAGAGAAGGTGCAGAATAAGTACATAGGCTGCACTAAAAGTATCGGGAATGGAATATTTCCACTGTTCCTGTCATATTAAAATCTTTTTAATTGAAAACTCCTTGGTTTTAAAAATCGAATACCATTTATTTATTTAAAAAAAGATTCTCGGTCATGTCACAAGGTTTTGTGAAACTTGTTTAGTTGTTTAGAAAATGGAATTGACTCGAGAAAATTCAAGAGCGATGATTTATTATGACTTTCAAAGTGGTTTAACACAAAAACAGTGTGTTGACCGGATGATTTCTGCATTTGGTGATGAAGCCCCATCCAAAACCACAATTTATCGCTGGTTTGCTGAATTTCAACGTGGACGTGTCAAGCTCAGTGATGATCCCCGTCAATGTCCTCCAAAAACTGCAGTCACTCAAGAAAACGTTGATGCTGTGCGTAAGCTGATTGAGGAAGATCGACATGTGACATACTGCGAAATTCAGGCAACTTTAGACATTGGCATGAGTCAAATACAAATAATCTTGCATGAACAATTAGGTGTAAAAAAGTTATTTTCCCGATGGATACCGCATTCGCTCTGTGAAGAGTAAAAAGAGGCTTGCGTTACTTGGTGCGTTAGAACTCTCGAAAGATTCCACGCAGGATCCTCAAATGCTGTATACAACATTGTATCAGGTGACGAATCCTGGATATACGCGTACGAACCCGAAACAAAAAATTAGTCACGAGTTTGGGTGTTCGAAAATGAGTTAAAGCCAACAAAAATTGTTCATTCACGGAGTGTTGAAAAAAAATTGTGGCCACGTTTGCTTCCAAAACCGGCCATGTTACGACTATTCCTCTTGAGGGACAAAGAACGGTTAATGCAGAATGGTATGCTAGCATTTGTTTGCCACAGGTCGTTTCTGAACTCCATAAAGAGAACTGCAACCGCCGCATCATCCTCCATCACGACAATGCGAGTTCTCACACCGCACACAGAACAAAGGAGTTTTTAGAGCAAGAAAACAGAATTATTAGACCATCCGCCGTACAGCCCCGACCTAAGCCCTAATGATTTCTATACTTTCCCTAAAATAAAGAATAAATTGTGTGGACAGAGATTTTCATCACCTGAAGAAGCTGTGGACGCCTACAAAACGGCCATTTTGGTGACCTCAACTTTCGAATAGAATGGTTGCTTCAATGATTGGTTCCATCGTATGGAAAAATGTGTCAAATTTCGCGGAGAATATTTCGAAAAGCAATAAATACATTTTTAAATAGTAATGTTGTGTCACTTCCTTGATTCCCGAAATTTTCAGTGCCACCCTCGTAGTATAGGCAAATGGTGAAAAATATTAATAAAAAAAGGTCAAATATTCTGTCTAATTTAAATTGCATGGCATTATTTTAACTGATTTTACTGCGCACATTTGTAAAGGTTGATCGGTATGATAAACAGGGATGCCCATAAATCACATTCAGTTTGGAATAATTTCAAATAAATTCTTATTTAATTGTATTTTCAAAAACTGCAATAACGGTATATCATTATTTATATATTTGAAATTAAGTTTAAAATTTGGCTCTCTTTGAAGAATAACTCTGTTTATAACAATATATAAATGCCAGAAAATAATGTTAAGTTCATTTTTCCACATGATGAAATGCATTTCTCAGGGGATTTCACCTCATCCCCATCACTTTAGATTGTGATGAAGCTTAAAACTTACCAAATTTAACATCTTATCCTCATTTCTTCGATGTTTTTTTTCTTGAAACGACTGATTTCCTCATCCTTCTCCAGTCGGTGAGATTTCTCCCCCCCTGCCCCCTAAGCCATCACCCTCCACTATGACCATTATAGATCAACATAATTTAAAATTATAAATTTTGTACAGCCAACTTCAATATACGTTATTAAGAATAACTCAAAAATTATTGATCTGACCTTGATCAAATTCATATGGGACCATACGAGAAGTACCAGCTTTCAAATAAAAAAAGAAATATCCAAATCGGTTCACCCAGTAAAAAGTTATCAGGTAACACACATAAAAAAAAATACAGTCTTTTCAGAATTGAATACCGTCTCCTTTTTGGAAGTCGGCAGAAAATGGTCTTCAGTCTCAACAAAATTGTCTTTGCAAAAATTTATTCACAAATTAGTGTTTCTAAAACACATATGGAAGGCTGATATGATTCTCACTTCATTCTCCCTACTTCTCTCTTCTCTCTATTTCTCCCACTCTTAAACCCATTATATGCAATATAATATATATATATATATATATATATATATATATATATATATATATATATATATATTATATGCAATATAATATATATATATATATATTATATATATATATATATCTTTCAAGCATTGAAATATAAATAATTGTTAATTTTGCAGACGATTGCGTAGATGAAGATACAAGTAGCGAAAATGAGGAAGATAAAGTTTGCTCAAATCCCAAAAAAAGAAAGAAAAAGAGTTAAGTCAAAATGTGTATTTGGTTTATGTTAAGATTTTCTTGTGATTCTTGATAAACTTTTTGTTATAATCCTTGAGTTTTATTTTTAAAACCATCAAAAGTTTATTCCATCAAAGATAAACCACTGATGGTGATGATGATAATGTATTTCTGAGTTGTGTCATCTGTATTCATACATGTTTTGATTTTAATATAGGATAGGGTGACAAACAAGCACACAGTCCACCTGATGTTAAGCAGTTGCTGTGGCCCATAGACATCTACATCTATCCTCGTTTGCGAATCAAAATGTAGATGCGTTGTCACCCATGAGGACTAAGATGGAATGCCTCTTTTCCAGTAAAAAGGGTCTTCGGTCTTCCGTGAGAGTGTGGTCTTTCCCCGGTCGAGCCGACCCATTCGTGCTACAATTATACTACAAATATAGATGCAGCATAACTACCACGTAAAAATGACCATGGCCACTGTATGTCGTCATGTAGTCAAGCACTGCCTTTTGGCGCATAATAAGGCGTGATCCATTTCGAGGTTCCCTACTTTTTTAAAGAAAAAAACAGAAAATCCAAATTTAATGGAGAATGTTTATTATCATTTGAATTTCAATTCAATTATATCAAGAACATTCTTTAGCATTTATTTTTTGAAGATTATGTCTAACAAATGTTGGCCGTTGCTCCGTCGCAGATGGTCCATCCGTTGAGTCCAATTTTCGATGAGTCGTTCGAGCATTTCGACTGGTAACTGGCGAATGACACGCGTGATGTTTTCGTCCAAGGCCTGAATCGAAGCGAGTTTGTCCGCATAAACTAGACTTTACATATCCCCACAGGAAAAAGTCTAACGGTGTGATATCACACGATCTTGGTAGCCAATCGACCGGCCCAAAACGTGAAATTATGTGCTCACCGAAATGTTCTCTCAATAAATCCATTTATTGATGCGATGTGTGGGAAGTGGCGCCGTCTTGCTGAAACCAAATGGCGCGTAGATCACGAACTTCAAATTCAGGCATCAAATAGTCGGTTATCATGGCACGATAACGGTTGCCATTGACGGTTACGTTCGCACCGGCATCATTTTTAAAGAAATATGGACCGATGATTCCACCGGCCCACAAACCACACCAAACCGTTGTTTTTTCTGGATGAAGTAGCAGTTCTTGAATTTCTTCAGGTTGCTCTTCGTCCCAAATGCGGCAATTTTGTTTGTTTACATACCCATTGAGCCAGAAATGGGCCTCATCGCTAAACAAAATTTGCCTCGAAAACGTCGGATCTTCTTGGAACTTTTCAAGAGCCCATAGAGCGAAGCGAAGTCGCTTGGGAGGTCGAGCGGCTTCAGTTGTTGTACAAGCTGTATTTTGTACGCTTAAAATTTAAGATCCCGACGTAAAATGCTCCAAGTCGTTCCATACGTCAGTCCGAGTTGCTGCGAACGGCGCCGAATCGACTCTCCACGGTCTTCATGTACACTCTCAGCTACGGCCGCTATATTTCCTTCACAGCGTGCTGGACGTGGTCTATTCGGTAGAATATTATCCAATAATGAATGCCGGGTCTCAAAATGGGTGATGGTGTTGCGAATAGTACGCTCAGTAGGCCGATTATGTTGACCATATGTTGAGCGAAGTGCACGAAACACATTCCTCACGGAACGTGAATTTTCGTAATAAAGTTGAACGATTTGTAAACGTTGTTCAGGCGTAAGTCTTTCCATTATGAAATGCCGAACAATACTAAACAAAAATAACATGACAGCATGACACGACTCACACGTGATCTGTCAAAAAAAGGCTATTGAAAAAAGTATCTCTACTTGGATCACCTATTATTTAAAAAATGTAACTTTTCATACAAATTAAGAGTTAACTTCAAAGAAATCTAGTTTCAAGCAAAAGTGGTTTACATTTGACGAATTTAACGTGTAAGATATAATAAACATACAGTCGAATTGTCTACCTCCTCCTTTTTCGAAGTCGGCTAAAACATAAATTCATAATGTAGTTTGTAACTGTGACTAAAACTAGTTTATATTTGGTCATAGTTAATTTAATTAATTAGTCTACTATAAACCAATATTGACCTGGTAGAGTCAAGCTAAGCCATGTTAGCTTTGTAGCACGAATAGGTCGCCTTCACCGGGGAAGTGACCGTGGCTTACAGAATACCAGAGTTAAATAGCAGCTTAATGCTGCTAGGTATGGTGGGTGTAGAGAACTGGAAACTCTTTTTACTGGGAACGTGGCAGTCCGTCTTAGTCCTCAGGGGTGAAATATTATTATTGATTCTTAATCGAGCATAAATGTCTATGAGCCACAGCATCCACTTGCCATCAGGTGGACTGTGTGCTCGTTTGTACCCTTATTCTATTAAAAACCCAGTTTATTTCATTTTTGCAAACAATTTAATTTATATGGATCTACTAATTTATATGGTTGGCAGATCAGCGAGCACATAAACTAAAACTAGTTTACCTCTGTTGTAGTTCATCCGACAAGATACAGAATACTTACATTTAATATTAAAGCTCTATACACAATTGACTAATTAGGACAGTTAGTTTTTTTAAATTAAGTGTTTAATACTCAGTGTTACGGACGGCGAAGGGAGCCGCCGCCCCGTCGCCCCCTCATACCCCGTTACGCCCCGCACACCCCGCACACCACTCGGACATCACGTGATGCATGCAGCCAATGAGCGGACAACGACACCGCGTGGGAACACACCAAAGACGGAGCCTGGAGGCCGCTGTCTCCTATATTTTTTTTACACGAATACTCGACATTGAGTAATACGGATTAACGTTTTCATCACGTTTTATTTAATTTAGTTTTAACTCCCGACGTTTCGGGTATTTTACATCACCCATGGTCACGTGGGGAGGGGGGGAGGGACTGAGGTATTTAACGTCCCCATGTCATAGTTAGCCCAAAGCAAAAATTGGGTAAATACATACGGGCTTGTAGAACCAGAGTAACCGACAAAGCACAACGGATTAGTAAGCTGAAGTGGAAATGGGCCGGCCATATAGTTCAAAGAACCGATGGGAAAGAAAGGTTCTCGAGTGGCTGCCTCGTACCGACAGGCGAAGTGTAGGGCGTCCCCCCACTAGATGCAGTGACGACCTGCTAAACATGCAGGAAGTCAATGGTTGCAGGTAGCACAGGACCGTGATTTGTAGCATTCCTTGGGGGAGTCCTATTTTCAGTAGTTGACTTGTGAAGGGCTGTAATGATGATGATGATACGGAGCTGATGCTGCAAAATGCCACCTAGCAGCGTTGGACTTAGTACAGAGACGTGCTAAGAAGCTTATTGGTAACATTGAATTGGTTGAAAAAAAATCTTGTCACTTGGATGTAAGTGTTAGCGCAAAGTAGTCATTTGGAAGGGAAGGCTAAATTGGCCTCTAAAAAGCTGGCGTACTCAGCAGAGAGGGGCAGTATTTCATGCCGGCACACCGATTCCAACTTTACAAGGCGCAGTTTCGGCCACACGTGGAATACTGTTCTCATCTCTGGGCCTGGGCTCCCTAGTGCCAGCTCCTTTTACTGGACAGCATCCAGCGCAGAGCGGCTCGAATCGTCGACAACCGAGTTCTCACTGATCGGCACTGATTTGCATTTTCTATCGCGTTTACTGTGCGATTTACTAGGAGCTTTCTTCATCGCACGACTTTTTTGTGGAATTATTTATCACCGGTGATTTTTTCTCACCGATACGATTCAGGGACCTTCAAGAAACGAGATTACTTATTTTTAAGAGGCCGGCAACGCACCTGTGATTCCCCTGGTGTTGCAGTTGTTTATGGGCGGTGGTTGACAGTTATCATCAGGTGAGTCGCATGCTCGTTTGCCCTTTTTTTCTCTCGGTATTTTATAGGATGCATTTCAGAGATGTGCGCAGAACTTACATGCTTTAATTCCTCCCTTTCCTTTCCACCATCGGACAACCAGGCTGTCCGCGGATCTTCACCCATGTTTGTTGTCGATATTCCACGCATTTGAGCCAAACGGTTAGCTTCGTCTTTCGTAATGCATACAGCAAAAAGGTGGAATAATTTGGTGGCGTCTGTTTTTCACTACGACAGTACGATTACCATCTAGGAATTCATCACAATTAACTGATGATTGTGGTCAAGGTCAAGCACTGGCTTATAATAAGTAAAAAAATATATCTTACTTATTACAAATAGGTATCACTTAAAATACATCGTTAGTTTTATTTACATAAAATTTCGTCTATTTCCAATAAAACAAGCAGTTACTTATTATACTTATTTATTATTTTTAGATTCCAACTTGTATTCATACTCTTGTATTTACATAATATTCAAAAATATTTACATACTAATATCTAGGATACCGTAATATGTCTTCAGTTGGATTTTTAAAAGTTTATCTTTGTATTGTTGTACTTTAATGTACGTTATTAATTTTGTCACATGATAAAACATATTTTGACGTAAAATTTTGCATTTTTTTTAATTTAATAAAATAAATACTTAAGTTCTATCTCTATATTAATTAATATTCTATATCAATACCATATCTACGTATAAGGTCCCTATTGTACCGAGACGCCATGGCAGTGCAACCAGGTAACGCAGCCAACAAATGTCTGCATAGTTTTAAATACAGGAAGGGGTACCACACCAATTCTTCGCTTGGTTGGGCAAAGGCCAACCAAATTGTGACCAGTAGCGGCGCGTCGATAGTATACAGAAAATTATTGGGTGGACGACTCAACCGCGCTGGTCGCGCTTCCAGTCAAATGAATTGTTTACGGCGTCTCACACGGCTGCCTGTGGTCACAGTTTAAAGACAGCTTATTCAAACAGTACACTGGCGCTATTAGCCACGGCACGTAAGTCTAGCGCTGAATGAAACGTGGCGGGGACGCGCACGAATTGAATTGCATGAATGCGACTCGACAGCCAATCAGCGCGTGCGAACGATACGCAAGAGCCAATCAGCGCGACTTATGCGCAATAACGGTCAACGCTAGACTTTCGTGCCGCTACTTATACCACGGTTGCCCAACCCTGGCGTCTCAGTGTACGGGTATTAGCGACCTTAAGGTACATTTATTTTTATAGCGGAATGTTTTAATCACAGTGATAATTTACTAAATACTTATAAGGCAATAAATTAGACTTATTTAATTTTGGCGATATTTATTTTAAGAGCGATTACTGCAAGACTAATTGAATTACTATTATTTTATGTGATTTAAAGAAAAGCCTTATTAGGCTTTTTAATACAACCTATTTGAGGTGAAAATTCACAAAGACATTATTATGGTTACGAATAGGTAGGAATCTTAATTATACTAAGCTTGTGTGGGATTTTTGTATTAAAGGGCTGTCACATAGTTTAACAAACAAAAAACAGTATAACTGAAAGGATTTCTGTTTGTATGATTGGGTACAAACTCGGACTAAAGAAATTAAAATAATAAATACTGATGATTTACACGTTCATTGCGAAACCAAAAATATGAGTTTTCTGCTGGTGGCCCATTATTTTTTATTTATTATTTACATTCAAGTATTTCAAAAACTTTACGTGATTTAGATTCCTGCACCCCATTTACAATACTTTAATTCATTCCCCAGAGGCCCTTAAGAATTTGATTTGCCACTACGCTATCGCAAAGTACACTTAAAAACGGAGACCATTTTTATTTGTAACGATTCATTTCATCTTAGACCTCAGGGGTGACGACGCATCTGCATAATATTGACTCTTAATCAAGGATAGATGTAGGTGTATAAAAAAACACTTACCATCAGCTGGAGTGTGAGTCATGTAAGGAGTCGAATTGAATAGAGGTGCAGATACGCGACGACTCGGGTTTGGCAATAAATGTGTCAAATGAAAAATTCACATTAATAAAATAGCAAAAATATACAGTCACGGCAAAAAAGTTACTAAAAGGAACTAGCCATCTGTGCAGGACAACAGGATTAGATTAGTGTACTGGTGTGTGCATAAACGTTCGTATACATATGTTACTGTACTCTGTGGCGCAAACTCAGGTGCACTTCTCTATTTCCTATTCCACACTCATCTCTCATAGTCCGACGGAACTTCTGGTATATACAGTAAGTATTATTTATAGATAGGACGGCACTCCAACACGACCGTAGGAAGACCAGGCTCAGGACCAACGGCGGGCATCGCAACATTAATATTAATGTATAAAATAAATCTAAGGTTTTCTTAAAAAGTGCCCCAGAAAATTCAGCAAACATTTAAATAGAGAAAATCAGGGAAACTAAAATTGTGTATAAAAGTAGCAAAGCAAATAGAATACGACTTTATTTTTCTAATAATATGACAAAAAAAAAACACACTTCTTGTCTTTTATGATATAGGTACTTGTATGTTTGTTTGTTTGTATCCAATGTCAATTTTGTATAATTTCAGGGAATATGTACAAACAATTCTACTTCTTAAACAATGGGAGGAAACTGACAAGCTTTAAACTATTTATATTATACATATTTTATCATTCAAATAGTAAGTAATAATAATTGAATAATTAGATGCAGTATGGAAAAAAAGCCAGAAAAAAGAATACGAAATAGCAATAATCTAATATTTAAGATTATCTGATGATTTGCATACTTAACAATTAAGTTTTTGCGAAGCAATTCTGATTGGGATTGAGGCTTGTGAAAAGTATTACTGTCTGATTGTTGATACTATATTTGGAATTCCTTATTCTGTTTTCTGGCTCCATGTCTTGTGTTTGGGCCGGAGTAATAAAATGAATGAAATAATCATTTTAATTTGTTATAATTAATGAATTATACATATTACATCACTGGTTAATTATATTTGTATCACTATTTTGTCTCTTCTGGTGTGTTCTTATATGTTTGTGATCATATATATTATAAATGAACTATTGCTGTAAATCTTGGCATTACTAAGTTTAACAAAATGTTTGGTATGCCCGATGATTAATATTAAAATCATAATATTACAAATATAATTGTTACATTCTTCACTCGTGAACAACAGATCTGTTTGTACTTGAAATATCTATTACCCATTGAATTCGAGTATAGAAAACTATGTTACTATTACAAGAGCACAGTTTGAGGTCGAGTACGTATACGTCTTGTAATTTAATGATAATTATGATGAAAGAACGTCTCATTTTATCTTTTTGTCTTGTTTATTTTTGATATCGCCAAACGGGAGCACTCTTTTATAAATAATAGGTACATATTACAAGCGAGTATGCTATTTTAACTTAAGACTAAAAATAAATGTGTATATAATCGACTAGTTTATTGTTGTTTTGTCATCAGGAGGTTCGGAATCCGAGCAGCATATTTCACAACCGTTGACGCCACAATCACACATTGATGTTGGGCGTATTGAGTTACGGAATTTCTGAAAAGGCAATATGTTATTAAAAATAAAAATCACGAATCATGTAATTAAAGGAAGATTTACAGTTAATTTATGATTATTACGTTTCTATTATGTTCATCAGAATGCACTTTAAGCAAGCGCTAATGTTTTCTGTAAGTGTAGTGTAGTTAGTCTTATGCTTACTTATTACCACAATCCTACGACTAATTACTTGTAAATGTAAATGAATAGAATGTAAACAGTAAAATATACATAATATAGAAACATAATAAAACATGTAAAGGGACACTAACACAAACAGTTTAAATAAAATACAATAAAAACTATTACGCAACACACTAAGCACTAGATTACTGCTAAGTAACTGATATTTTTAAAGGTGTGATGGTGAAGGCATTTCATTTCACTTGTACACTGGATATATAATCAGACCCGAAACAATAAAAAAATATAAATAATAAATACGAGTAGGCATATAGTTCCGTGCAAGAATCCGACCCTTGGCCAAAAGCAGCACAGCCATATTTTTAGCCATTGTGTTATAAGCTTTGTGGCATCCTGTCATGATTTCATGTCAGCCTCTGCGTAGAATAAGCAACTAAGGCTTAATGATGCAACTTTTTTCCTCTTTATGCTTATGAAGTACTCTGACAAAATCATTTGCACATGTAGAAGGAAAAAATGGAAGCGACAATTACTAACGACTTTTTACAACTAACTACTAACTACACTATTTAATTATTGGTTGTTGATCGATGATAGATGTTGATGTCTATGGGCTCCAGCATCCACTTACCATCAAGTAGACTTTGTGCTCGTTTGTCACTCTTATTTAAAAAAATGTAGATATAGATAGAGTAAGAAGTAGTACTTAATGAAAAATATGCATGAAAGTATGTACAGTGGTAGAGCCACGCGGGAGCTTTTGCTGTTGCACGTATGGGCCGGCTTGAGCCGATGTTTGCTTCTGCGTTTCGTCTGGTGAGTGCAGGTAGCCGGAGGCCCAATTCCCGCTCCCCCCAACATGGTAGCGGAATTAAACGGAAGACTACCCTAGAAGAATTGAGACCATTGTCTAGTCTGGAGTGTGGTGCCACTCACGCTGAAATCGCGGTTGCATTCTGCACGCTGCCGCCGTGTTTGTCACTATAGGTCGGCCGATTGGGATATAATGCGGTCTCCCTGTGCAGTGTCAGGTCTCCGAGTGACGTGCAGTTTCGTGGTCACTTGGTGGTTCGTGGGCGGCGGTAGTCACTTACCATCAGGTGAGCCGTATGCTCGTTTGCCCCCTCTCCTATAATTAAAAAGTTTGTTTAACTTATTCTAAAGATTAAGGTTTAATGTGGCTTTATTTTACTATAGTTATTTAGTATTTAGCCCTAACCTTCCCGTTTTGAAGCTCGTTTTATGAGTCCATGGGATGCAGTGGCATGCAGCCACTTAACGGATTTGACTGTTAGCTCTATAACTTACTTGGAAAAAAAAAGATTATTTACATTACATTAGAATTTTAAAATTATAATAATAAACGTACTTCTCTCCAAGTGTTCCCTGGTGATCTTATAATTACGACGACAGCATACACTGGAATGCATAGTAACGACATTGAAGCTATTGTCCAACCGAGGAATTGTGCCCACGCTGGGTACTGGTAATGTCGATAGCTGGGTGGTGTGTAGTCGACAAGGCTGGCTACCCAAAGAGCCAGCAATAACGCTGGTGAGGCCACCAGCCAACAGAAGCGAAAGTAGAAAGATGGACAACGACCTATAATTAAAAAACTTTTATTTTTATTAATTTTCGTTGACTAAATCGAGACGTGTTTGGACTTTATAACTGTATTTGTTATAAATTCTTTATTTTTAACCAACATCATGCGTATAATGTATATTATCTTCATTACTTTTATTTCAACCATAACAATAAAATATTATTATTGTATAGCGGATTTCCGATTAAAGCTGAATAACACACGAACAAAAGGTTTTGTCTACTTTAAGCATTGTTTCCTTGCGCTACATGTAAATGATTCTGTATGAATATATTACGCCATTTTTAAATCAAAAGACAAGGATAATAAAACAAAATCATCATCATCATAATCATCTACAAGCCAATCAAAGTCTACTGAACATAGGCCTCCCCCATATTTGCCTTGTTCTATTATTTTGTATTATGGTCGAAATTGTGGAAGACTTCGGCTATGCTCAATGACCTCAAAAGTGCCCAGTCCCAAGGGATAGGTCTTAAGATAAATATGGGCAAGAAAATGATCATGTCTAATATCCATGTCACAACTATGCCGGTGGTAGTTGGAGCGCTCGAAGTTGATGACGAGTATGTTTTTATCTCGGACAAAGTGTCCGACTAAGAATGTAAGTCTAACTTCGATCTTGAGGTTTTCACGTGGTAGAGCCCATGCTGCAGCTATATTAGTAGTATAGTTGTAGCACGAATGGGTCGGCTCGACCGGGGAAGGACCACGCTCTAACAGAATACCAGCGTCAAATAGCAGCTTCATGCTGCTGTGTTTCGTATGGTGAGTGTAGAGAACCGGAGACTCTTTTTTACGGAAAAGAGGCATTCTATCTTAGTCCTCACGGATGACAACGCATCTGCATTTTGATTCGCAAACGAGGATAGATGTAGATGTCTATGGGCCACAGCAACCCTTTACCATCAGGTGGACTGTGTGGTCGTTTGTCACCCTATCCTATAAAAAAAAAAGGTCAATCGATATATCAACTGAGCTGAGCAGGGTTCGGATAGTTCGGAAGATGACGATACATCTAGTTACGTACTTATGTTTCAAAATTTCTACATCTATACAAATAAATAAAATGGAAGTGTCTGTTCGTAATTGCAAAATAACAGCTTTTACAAAATGCATATGAAAGTATATTTGGTGCTTATAACAAAAACAAATCTCGGAAATGGCTGGATGGATTTTGACGGGACTTTCACCAGCAGATAGCTCATGTTATAAGGAGTAACTTTTATTATACAAAAATAGCTATTATTATACAAAAAATATTAGGGTTCCACGCAAAAAAATTAAAATTAACCCTGAATCACACGCGGGCTAAGTCGCGGGGAACAGCTACTTTAAAAATAAGAGTGTACAATCAGTGCGTGTTACTAGTGAAGGATGGATCCGAGAAGTCTTCCTTCACAGCAGCAGTGGTATTAGGAAGCTTGAATTCGCTTAGCGAGCTATGGAGACGGCTACTATGCTAGGAGGTTCTCTGCATGATAGAATTCAGAGTTAGGACGTCACAGAACTTAGTCGTTCCTTTGGAGAGGCCTAGTTCAACAGTGTGTGCTCGAAGAAGCGACAATCGATGGGGAAAAAAGGTTCTCGAGTGGCAGCCTCGTACCTGTAGGCGAAGTGTAAGGCGACCCCCCACTAGATGGAGTGACGACCTGGTAAGACATGGAGGAAGTCGATAGATGCAGGTGGACTTGTGAAGGGTTGTAAAGATGATGATGATGATGTTCAACAGTGGACTTGTGAAGGGCTGAAATGATGATGATATGGAAGATGGATTCATAAATCCAAAAGTGTAATAAAAATGGCATTTAACGTACCTGTCATCTGTTTAATATTTCGTGATAATCTGCCTACGCCATAAAACCAAGCAATGGCAACCACTTCGAAAAATGCTAAATATGTAATGCTAAGGGATGCTGCATAGTAGTCCATAAGTTGAAATACGTATATGCCGCTTCTAATAATGTGCTGTATCCCGAATACTAAGGAGATAATGCACACACATAAAACCAACAATTCATGATACACGAGTCGTTTACGTATCATGTCAGGAAAGCCATCTTGTATTGAAGTAACCACTACTTCGACAATAGCAAACTGAAAACAAAAATAAAATAAGGAAAAATAATAACAAAATAAGTTGAATTAAATCTATGATAATAATTAGTATTATAAAGAGTAGAGTAAGTAGTAGTAATGAGTATAATATGTTACCTGACTGTTGAGACCCAAGCACAAAAACATAAAAAAGAACAGTACTGCCCATAATTGTGGTGCTGGCATCTTAGCAATAGCTTGAGGATATACAACAAATAATAAACCAGGACCTGAAATTAAAAACATAATGATTTTAATTCATTTAAACTGCACTTTGCATACTTTTCTTTCTCATCGATGTAATTGTATAATGTTATTAACTTAAACTTACTATCAGCAATGACGTCCTTGACACCAGTATTCTGTTCAAATGCTATATTTCCAATCGTGGCAAATGTAAATATTCCTACAATGAGGCTTGTTATTGCATTTACTAAAGATACCGCTACAGTATCATGAAGAAAATTGTTATCGAAGCGGTTGTATGATGCAAACATGATCATAGAGCCAAAAGCAATGCCGATTGAATTAAAAATTTGAGAAGCTGCGTTAACCCACGGCCTAGATTGCTTAAGAAGTTCCCAATCTGGCTTAAAGAAGAATCTTAGCCCTTTATCAGCGCCATCCAGCGTCAGCGATCGCCCCAAGAAAACGATAATTAAAAGAAATGGTAGTGTTGTAGTGATGTAACGAACTTTGGCAGAGGATTTGATACTTTTCCAAAGGGCGAAATACACTAATACCCACGCGCATACTAAACAGGCCGCCAATTCCCATCTCATGCCACCAGGGAATTCAATGCCATCACTCATGTTTAAAACCTTTTTCCTGAAATAAAAAGAAAGTGTTTTCAGTGTATTATGTAATAATTGCACTTCTTTAATCTCAACAGAAGCCTTTACACTGCTTTATTTCTTTAAATTATTTTTGCCCACACTCATTTAGAACTGATTAAAAATAAAAATAAATTAACAGTGGCGTAGCAAGGGCGGGGAAAGCAAGCGGCAGATTTTTGGGGGATTTGTCTCAATGTCATGCCCCGTCTTATTTTTTAATAATGCCATTTAAATCTCAAAAAAATCCTGAAAATTAGCTGTTTTTGAATACTTTTAATTAAAATATAACATCTTGCACTGAAAGTTCTGAAAATAAAGATAATAATACGCACAAAGCACTTGCCAAGCATAAGGATAAGTATGAAGAAAATGTATCTCAAATTCATTTTTAAATAATATACAAAGCCAAGCACTTTTAGCAATTTTACATTTTTTTTTATTTACTTCGAAAATGACGTGAGGGATGGAATTTTTGATTCTAGCGGCCTCGGACGGCAGCGTCCCATGCTACACCACTGATTGTTATACTATACTTAAGTAATTAAAGTTGAATTCTTACTCGAAAAATTGTTCGGTGGGTGTTTGCGAACCATTGGGTTTAGTATGGTTATGGAACGGGACCCAACATTGTGCATTGTTCCAACGATTTGAACAGCTGGCCCATGGAACTTCAGACTTGAACGACGTAAAGAAGTAGTATATGGCCCATGCTATTATTACGGCGTAATACGTGGACATTAAAAACGAGATCACCACGCTTGCCAGTCCGGCACCTAAAATATTTACGTATTTAATTTTAAGAATTATGCAAATATTTTGATCTAAATTACATTTTAACTCATATTTCTAAAAATATAAGTAGGTACCTAAATAGTAAAATAGAAAACTATATCAATTTACTACCTAAAGATCATATACATCTTTTTTACATTATTAATAAAGTTAGATAATATTATGATGATGAAAGGGAAACAGGCAGGAGATGGGCAGCAGTATCATCCTGATAACAGCAAAATTACAATATAAAAACTGCGGTTACCAACCCGCTCGCCAAGCGTGGCAAATATGGCAAATACCCCCCATGAGCAATGACATTAATAAACGGCCCCCAGTCCCCGGCGGCCCCCTATTCCTGGCTACGGTGGCGACAATGGTAACGGCGGGGCAGGGGGTGCTAAGAATCTCCGGTGGAGGTTCGGTTGCCACCTAAAACGACTCGATCTGGCAACATACAACGCGCGCACCCTGAGTACTGACGAGAAGATCGTGGAGCTGGAAGAAGAGATAGACAAGTTACGCTGGCATATTAAAGGATTATCCGAGGTCCGAAGAGAGGGAGAGGACACGGTAATTTTTATTTATTTTTATTTATTTATTTGGTTCACCAACAAATGTTACACTGATATATATGCTTAATTCTAATATAGTAATATAAACTAAGTGCACATTCAATAATAGGTGAACACCGCATGCTTAGTGTTCACAGCATCTCCTACAAGCCGTTACCAAATAGCTAAAAATATACGATACAAACTTAAAATAAAAGAAAATAAACAAAATTATAAAATTAAATAAGTAAGTAATCCTCGAATCCGGCAACTTGCTCTATCACCGGGAGAGCGAACATCTGTCCCAAGGAGGTGTCGGATTTATCGTCCACAAGTCTCTCGTTAACAACGTTGTAAAGATTGTGAGTGTGTCGGCGAGGGCTGCGGACCTTATACTCAGAATCATCAAACGGTATTCGCTGAAGGTCAAACAGGTTTACGCACCAACCTCAGCACATCCCAATGAGGAGGTAGAGGAAATGTATGAGGATATCTCTAGAGCCATGCATTCCTCCAAAACCCACTATACGGTGTTAATGGGAGACTTCAATGCAAAACTAGGCACAAGAGAGAAAGGTGAGCTGAAAGTAGGGAAATTTGGAATAGGGCAACGGAACGCAAGGGGCCAGCAGCTGGCCGACTTCATGGAGAAAGAGGGACTCTTTATGATGAACTCTTTCTTCCAGGAGCGGGCCCACAGGAAGTGGACCTGGTCGAGCCCCGACGGTTCGACAAAAAATGAGATTGACTTCATTATGACGACCAGACGACAACTGTTCAGTGAAGTCTCCGTGATCGCGAGGGTGAAAACTGGTAGCGGTCACCGAATGGTTAGAGCACACTGAACCTAAACGTTAAGTTGGAGAGGTCTCGTCTAATGAAGTCATCGCTCCGCCCCCTCGTGCACAGTTCCAAAGTCTCGAAACCTTTCAGCTCGAGTTACAACACCATTTATAGTGCCTAGAAGGCTGCAATGAAGTGGACGATATGAATGACAAGCTCCTGGAAACTGTCCATGCGGTCGGAGCTAAGTTCTGCAAGACCCGCCGCAGATGAACACAAAATCTTTCCGATCACACTCTAACTCTCATGGCTGTTCGACGGGAGATGAAGCTACATTCTTCAACAGATTTGACAGCATACAGGCAACTGAAGAGACAGCTCTCCAAATGCATGTGGCGGGACTTACGCAACTTCAATACAGCTTGTATTGAAGAAGCGATCGAGCGGAACCAAGGCTCCAAAGTCTTTGCCAGAGATCTGTCTGCCAGAAAGATCCAACTGTCAAAGCTGAAGACCAGGTGTGGCGGCATTGTTTCTAGGACATCTGAGATTTTGAGTGAGATTGAGAGGTTCTATGGGCAGCTGTACACGTCATCGTTACAGCCACACGCAAGTGTGAGTCACGATCCAAGAGCGAGTCTTATCCGACACTATTCCGAAGATATCCCGGACGTCAATCTGAGCGAGATTAGAATGGCTCTCCAGCACCTTAAAAACGGCAGGGCTCCAGGTGAGGATGGAATTACAGTGGAGCTTCTGAAAGCGGGTGGAAAACCGGTACTTGTAGTCCTTCAGAAGCTCTTTAATTCCGTCCTCCATGGTGACATTACCCCGGAGGCGTGGAGCAGTGTCAAGTGCAGTGGTCTTGTTCTTCAAGAAAGGCGACAACGCTCTCTTGAAGAACTACAGACCGATATCCCTTCTGAACCGAGTCTACGTGCTGTTTTCGAGAGTCATTACGAATCGTCTCGCACGCAGACTTGACGACTTCCAGCCTCCCGAACTAGCCGGTTTTCGAAAAGGCTTTAGTACCATAGACCACATACACACCCTTCGGCAAATTGTACAGAAGACAGAGGAGTATAATCTGCCACTTAGCCTTGCATATGTGGACTATGAGAAAGCCTTTGATTCCGTCGAAATTTGGAGGGTGCTGCAGTCCCTTCAGCGGTGCCAAGTTGACTGTCGGTATATCAAAGTGCTGAAGTGTTTGTACAGTAGAGCTACGATGGCTATCCGAGTACAAAATCGGAGTACGAAACCTATCCAACTGCAGAGAGGTGTAAGACAGGGTGATGTTATATCTCCGAAACTCTTCACCGCTGCATTGGAAGACGTTTTCAAGCTACTGCTTGCGAGTACATTACTCACCTTCGATTTGCCAACGATATAGTTCTTATAGCAGAATCGCTGGAGGACCTAAGCACTATGCTCAATGACCTGAATAGTGTCTCCCAACGGATAGGTCTTAAGATGAACATGGACAAAACAAAAATCATGTTTAACGTCCATGTCACACCAGTATGTTTACCTGGGACAAATAGTCCGACTAGGTAAGTCCAACTTCGACCGAGAGGTCAATTGACGGATTCAACTCGGCTGGGAAGCGCTCGGTAAACTACGACATATCTTCTCGTTAGACATACCTCAAACCCTGAAAACGAAATTGTACAACCAGTGCGTGTTGCCAGTGATGACTTACGGATCTGAGACGTGGTCCTTCACTGCTGGCCGTATGAGGAAGCTCAAGGTCGCTCAGCGAACTATGGAGAGGGCTATGCTCGGGGTTTCTCTGCGTGGTAAACTTAGAAATGAGGATATACGCAGTAGAACCAGAGTAACCGACATAGCCCAATGGATTAGTAAGCTCAAGTGGCAGTGGGCCGGCCATATAGCTTGAAGAACCGACAACCGATGGGGAATAAAGGTTCTCGAGTGGCAGCCTCGTACCGGTAGGCGAAGTGTAAGGCGACCCCCCACTAGATGGAGTGAAGACCTGGTAAGACATGTAGGAAGTCTATGGATGCAGGTGGCTCAGGACCGTGCTTTGTAGCATTCCTTGGGGGAGGCCTATGTTCAGCAGTGGACTTGTGAATGGCTGTAATGATGATGATGATGATAAATATTATGATTAAAATTTAAGTACCCTTATAAATATTAATAGTGAGATTCGACCAACAGACACAGTTTATGCCTGTGGATTCGACTCGACTAAAATAAATACCTTTAAATAGTGGGCATATTTGTGAAAGCGCGCCAATAGGGCCGTGCGCCGTGTATTGACCCACAGCTAATTCCATAAAAAGCATGGGTACGCCGCATACAATCAGTATTATGAAGTAAGGTATCAGGAAAGCACCTGTAAGAAATATCATTTACTGAAATTATATTTAGAAATATGTATTATATTAGATTAGATGTACCTACCTACTCGTAATTTGGTTTAAATAAGTATTAGTAGGTACTACGTAAGTTAACGGTTTATAAGTTTTCGTTAATTGGGCAAAGTTTACATAACAATATGTAGGATGCAAAATGAATATAAGTACCTACAATAAACTAGCGAACCACAATAAAATAATAGGTTGGGTAAAAAGGTACTTCGTATTTTATATACAAATTCAAGACATTTTTTTCAAAGTTTAATTACATTTAATTATAATATATATGTGCCATTTTGTTCAATAACTTCTTGCCATCTTGTAGTTAGTGACGTAATCCCGTTGCTGTAGAAATCTTAGGAAATTTGATAAAAAAAATGGGACAATTAGTTTTGACAGTTCTCTCGTGATGTTAACCTAACACTACCCAAAGAATTCTGAAGATTCCGAAACAGGAGAAAATCTAAATAAAATCGTGCAAGGTCAGGACTATATGGTGAATGCGTTAATACTTGCCAACCAAGCTCTCTCAATTTTGCTGAGTTGCTAAAGATGTGTGTGGTCTGGCGTTATCATGATGAAAGACTACTGCTTTTCTGTTGATCAATTCCGGTCGTTTCTTCTCAATTTCTTGTTTCTTCTCTATTAGCGGTTGGCAGTAGAGATCCGAATCTATGATTTTGCCCGGCGGTAAAAGCGTAAAATAAAACTATGCCTTTCCAATCCCACCATACACACAGCATCACCTTATTGCGTGTTAATCCGGGTTTTGTTGCAGTCTGCGGGGCTTGACTACCCTTTCAATCTGTGATCTACTTTTCATCATTAGTGATCAATCTTTTCAAAAATGGTTCGGTTTCATAACGTTTGAAAACGTTAAAATACGAAGAAACTTTCTCCTCGACCTTACACTTTATGATCCACCGTATCAAAAGCAGAGCTCAAATCCTTTTGGATATATATAAACCAGTTACTTCTTTTTCTTCTTTGACAGGTATTCTTTTTTTAAATAGAATAAGGGTGACAAACGAGCACAGAGTCCACCAGGTGGTAAGGGGATGTTGTTGCCCATAGATATCTACATGTATCCTCGATTAAGAATGAAAATGCATTGTGACCCCTGAGGACTAAGATACAATGCCTCGTTTCCAGTAAAAACGGTATCTGGTTCTCTACACTCACCATACAAAACACAACAGCATAAAACTGTTATTTTACGCTGGTATTCTGTGAGATCGTCAAGGGTAGTCCTATCCTAGTCGAGCCAATATAATATAAATACATAATTTCTTGAAGACATCAATTATCTTAACGAATTCGTTACCAGACCTCTTCTTAAGTTCATTAAAAGGCTTCTTTTGCAGTATCTTATACAGTATTTAAACAATAATAAAGAAAGTTGTACTTATTCACAGACAAAGATCTAGACTTAATCGGCTAAAACGTCTCGGGCTCCCATCGCCTAAAATCATAGATTTCATTTTCATTTTATAATCCTTAAATAGCTTAAAAACTTTAAGCTATTTAAGAAAACTTTATTTAGCAATTAATTACGCCTTCTTACTAATAAATTATAAAATAATCTCATTCTGAGGTAATTTTGTAACTAAAATAATTAGAAACCCTCTTCTTCATCAAATAAAAAATCTATTATCTAGGTAAGCTAACTAATTATAAAATTTTAGATTCTTAAACGATTTACGCTCTTCATACACTATGTGAAATTATAATAAGAATCTAAGAAATAAGTCATTTGGCCACGTAGTCAAATATTTGACTATATGACTATAAGAGGCTCCCGTACAGATCGAGTTTCTGACGAAAAGATTTGTTGCAAGACATTGAAAGACAAGCAATGGTCGTCGGAGTATGTATCTGAGTATTGGCGGAGTCTTCACCCTAGGATTTACAGCGGAGTAACTTGCGTCCATGTAAATAATGGCGCGCGGAATTTTTCCTCTAAAGTAACCGTTAAAGCGTTTAGTCCAATCCTGTCAAAATAGATAAACAGGCGTTCTTTCTGGCATGTTCTTTCACGGGAATGGCTGTAGTGGGATATCTACCATTTGCATGCGAGAGATTTGCGATTCACGATATAGCTGGAATTACATTCTTCGACAACGAGAACAGAAGATTTCGCAAAAGGAGGCTGTGAGAGGAAGAGAGAAAAAACGTCAGAAATCCCCATCCGCAGCCGGATTAATGAATCTTAGGCGGCAAAAATGGGGGTTTTTCGTCGCCTAATACGTAAGGCCTCTAAGTAGCATGTACGATGTTCTCGCGTGCCCTCATATGAAAATATCTCCACTTGGTCAACGAAAAGGGTCTTCGGTTATCGCCGTTAAGGCTGAGGTATTATATGAAAGCGTTTCTGTAGCCACGATAAAAGGCGAAGAGATGAACACCGTCAATCCAACGGTGTGCATTTCTTCGACGGCATTCCCCACTCACAAAAAAGTAGCCTAAATATTTATAGTAAATTAGAAGAAAGTTTTACGTTTTAACGAGGGTAAGTTTCTTTTTGCTTTTTTTTATAGGATAGGGTGACAAACTAGCACACACTTCACCTGATGGTAAGTGGTTACTGTGGCCCATAGACATGTGTACATCTATCTTCGTTTGCGAATCAAAATGCAGATGCGTTGTCACCCGTGAGGACTAAGATAGAATGCCTCTTTCCCAGTAAACTCGGTCTCCGATTCTCTACACTCACCATACGAAACACAGCAGTGTTAAGCTGCTATTTTACGCTGGTATTCTGTAAGAGCGTGGTCCTTCCCCGGTCGAGCCGACCCATTCGTGCTACAACTATACCAGTAATATAGCTGCAGCATGGCTCTACCACGTAAAAATTATTATTATTATTTAAAATGTCTTCCTTTCCAGATACCTGTTGATCTGAAAATGGTTGTTTGAACGTTTTTATTTTTTGATATTTATAGATCATTCAATTAATCGATTTCATCGGACACAAAATGCGTCCCGTTTTCACCCAGAACTTTTTTTGAACCCCTCAACAACACACTAAAAATGGGACAATTCTAGAGAAATACGAAAGGATGGCAGCCTAATGCCGCGCCTCCACAATATACGAATCGTTTATTCGTAAAATTTAGATAAGATTTGAAGTTTTGTTTGAGTAGTTATTTGCAATTGTAAAGTAATGTCAATTCTAAGTTTTCGACTCTGGCGACGCTACAGAAATAATTGGTCATCACTAAAAGAAAAATCACGAAATAAATTATTATTCAGTCAGTTTTTTATAGAAGCAGTTATGTATTTGAAACAAAACTCATTTAAAGAAGTATTTGGCAAATGGCAAGCAATAGACTTCCAAAATTTACTGTCGTAATTGCTGTTTCTCATGTTTGTATCATACATGTACATAGTTCTAAATGTGGCATTGTTCTCGTTCGTTGTAATGCCATAATTACAGTTCCAATTGTATCCTTCATATCAACGAATTGACCTACAGGAACTGTCGTAATTAAGCTGGCTATTTGCTAAAAGGATTATTTGGGCACGTGTCGCAGTCATTTGAGACGCTTTGTGAATTGCCATTATGGTTATGACTTAAGTATCTATATGTCGTTCAAGGCGTTTGACTGTTAGAGATACAAATCCAAGGAAAAGTGTGCGATACCGTTCTTTTTGCATAATATATTATATATTTGTTATGTATGTTTGTTATGTATGTCCATTCTCGTACCAAGTTTTTGTTACTTCATAGGCCTATCTGGATTTTCGATCATATCACAAGATATTACAAGTTCAACTGATTGTTAAAATTATAAGTTCGTAAAAATAAATAGAAATATTAAATATTACATTTTAAAACACTTTACTACTACTACTTTACCAACAGCAATGGAGATAACTTTAACACAAAAATTAATATCGGTGTTTATGTTAATCTAATCATTTGCTTCTTATTTAAAGTGTTTTAAAATGACTAATATTTCTATTTATTTTTATGAACTTATAATTTTAACAATCAGTTGAACTTGTAATATCTTGTGATATGATCGAAAATCCAGATAGGGCTATGAAGTAACAAAAACTATTGGTACAAGAATGGACATGAGTAATATTAATGTGACGACAGTTTCTTATGACGGTAGGATTATCGTTTATGAAGAGCTGACTAATAGTTACACGCTGAATGATTTCTGTGCAATGAAATGAAATGATAAGGCATTCAAATATCTTTATGATAGACACATTGTAAAATATTAGGGTGTAACAAGAGTGAGAGAAAAGCATTTCAGTTATAACGACGGCTCCGTGGCGCATTGGCTTAGTAATAAGTTGCAGCACGTATTTGTATGACCTACAAATAATTGTTTCGGGTCTGGTTTTTTTTTATAGGAGAGGGGGCAAACGAACATGCGCCTCACCTGATGGTAAGTGACTACCACCGCCCATGAACAACCGCAACACCAGGGGGACCAGGCGAATTGCAGACGCGTTGCCGGCCTTTTAAAAAGGAATAGGCTCTTTTCTTGAAGGTCCCTAAGTCGTATCGGTCCGGAAAAATCGCTGGTGGTAAACTATTCCACAAGGAAGTTGTGCGAGGAAGAAAACATCTTCTAAATCACACAGTGGTGGATCGCCAATCATCCAGATGGTGTGGATGGTATCGGGAGTTCTGTCGCGATGTGAGTTCGTGAAATTTGGCGGCTGGGATTAATCCGAATCCCGTGGTAAATGCGAAAGAAAATGCAAAGAGATGCAACATCTCTTCGCAGCACCAATGAATCGAGCCGATCGGAAAGGACTCGGTCGTCGACGATTCGAGCCGCTCTGCGTTGGATGCGGTCAAGTGGAAGGAGCTGGCACTGGGGAGCCCCTGCCCAGACATGGGAACAGTATTCCATGTGAGGCCAAACCTGCGCCTTGTAAAGTTGCAGGCGTTGTGCCGGTATGAAATACTGCTCCGCTCTGCTGAGCACAAGTATGGTGTTTGTCCTTATGAAGT